TGTACAATATTCAAATGTTTCCTATCAAGAGGCAACAGAGAACTAATTAACTCGCAGTCTATACTCTCCTGAGTATCACTATTCAAGTTGTCCAGCTCATTCCCAATGCCAATTTCGTATATTTCAGCAGCCATTGAACCCTCCATAATCTATTTTACTCTTTAGTACCTGTATTAAGTATTTGTAAGACGGGCACTCAGGATCACTTGCAGCGTGATTTATGTTATGTCTAAGTCCATACTTCTTGTTGGTCTTTTCACAATTAATGCATCTCAATCTCATCTTGGTGCATTCCATGGAGGAATGCTCTTCAGCACAATGTTCACACACAGTTTTTCGGTTTGGGCAATTATTGTTCTTGTGGTAATGTTCCTGGCAGTTGAAGCATCTCTGTATCGATATTTCCTCGTAGACAGAATAGCGTTTCCACGCAATGAAAATCTTTTTCATATTCATTAATTTGGTAAATAGATGGGGTGATACTTCACAATATATAGTGTGTGTTTTATTCTGTTTGTTAGGTCTCAGGTACGTCACATTGATTTTGTCTTGTTCATTAATAAAAGAATTTTGTACACATAAACAGCTCTCTATTTCTGCCATATCCAAGTCGCCGTCATAACCAGGTATTTTAATTCTGGGCAGTCTTAGTTTTGTAAGTTGTACTTCATACTCCTTCATTTTACTCGCAGCCTCTATTCTAATTTTTTCTACATCTTGTTTGTTATGGCATTTTAAAATTACTCCACCATTTTTTAATTCCAACTTTAAGTTCGGATGGCTTTATATGTACTAATAAATCTTTTTTTGTTGATTCAGCTTTCTGGGGTTGCTTCGGAATTATCATTATATGAGGTATATTATTATTAAATATTTTTCTTTCATTGCTTTCAGCAGGAGTTTGTAGAATGTTGCTGTAAGATTGAGGTATATTATTATGTTTTTCAGCCACTTTCTCCAGATCAGAAATCCTTGCCTTTAACAAGGCAATTATTTCATCCTTGCTCTGGATGATGGATTCCTTATCATCGATGGTCTGATGTAATAGGGTAAATGTATCAGACTGTAAGCATTTGGGACATAAGAGCTTCATGACTCGTCCATTTCTTAATTCCAAGACTTTAATTTCAGAAGCCGTCACTTTACTACACTTTGTGCATATTTTAGCATTGCACCCATCACATAAGAAAATTTTCACATTCAGTTGACTTTCACTACAAATATCGCATTCCATTTTCTTCTTCAATTTAAATAGCGTATGGACATGCTAAAACTCACACATTTATGTGCACTAGCACGCACTAGATAAGCTGAATTGTTTATCTCTTTTTTTCAGGTGGCCTAAGTGATAAAAAACCACAGTTTGTGGAATTTTATCGTTTTTCGTTATGACACTGGGTTTATACAACGTCGTGCCGGCGGTGGGAAAAACGGACGTTATTTGGGCTTTACAACAACCTCAATTTCATATTAGATTTCACACGAGGACCGTAAAAAAAATGAAAATAGGGTGACTGCGCTGGTTTGCCGACCACTACTAGTTCTCGACCACATTCACCTTTAATCAGGAATAAATAGTAAATATGCACTCGTTCTTGTCCAATAAATGCTGAAATGGCTGCCAGACAGTTTTCCCAATCTAAAATACCATTGAGATTTAATAGGCGATAAACGGTTTCGCCTTCAAAATTCATTTGAATAGTCGCTGTCAAGGGGGTTGTTGTTTACGCATTATATCTATAAAAAGTGTATGTGTGTTTGATGTAGAAAATAGTAAGTATTGTTCTTCTTGAATGTAAGACCTTTCACCAATTGATTTTTTGTTATAGTAGGTTAATTTTTCTATCGAATTTACGAATAAAATATAGTGTGAAACAATTTTTTACATAAAATTTTTGTTGGTCGGGAACTAATATACAAAATATATCAGAATTTAGTTTACGACCGGGGTGGTCGAGAACTGAGTTTCAAGTCGTCCATTTTCAATTCATATAATAATATTTAGAAAAGTCGCGATGACTTTCTGTTTTTAATTGTTAGTTGAATATTGAATATAATTTTTATTTTTTAGTTTACGACCACCACTTTTCATTTAAATATTGCGAAGAAAATTGGATATAGATTTTGCAAAAATATGTGGTCGAGAAACTAGCTTATTATAGTCCATTTCTCGTCCACTGTAGTTTCAAGTGGTCGAACATCTAAATATGGATCTGATTTTCGACCAGCATGTTTTTCTAATGAGGAACTCTGGACGCCGAACCAACATGATTTTATTTAAATAATTTCTTCTCATCTAGTTTTCGTCCACATAATTTTTTTTTTAACTTCACTTAAAGTCCGTTTTTTTTTAAAGATAATTCCCCAAGTCAAAAATTTTGTAACTATGTTGGCAACAGAAGCCTTTTCTACATACAAAATTTGAAAGCATTGCCAATTTTACATTGCATTGCCAACATAATGTCATTCTGACTTTATCTTTGAAAAAAAACAGACTTTAATAAAGGAGAGAAAACCCCTAGTGCAATTGCTTCTGAAAAATGGAGAGAATACTATAATAAAAAGAAAGACGAAATCCATAAAAAAAAACAAGTATAGGTAGCCCGAAGAAAAGAAAAATGGAAAATGACAAAAGAAAATAATTCAAAAAAAAAGTTCAGAAAACTCTCAAAAAGAAAAAAATAAAAAATACCCAAAAACTCACCTCATCCAAATCTAAAGTATCCTCTTCATTATGCCAAGAAGATCTTTATAGTGACACAGAGGATGAAGATAAGAAAAACATCGGCTGTGACTTTTGTGAAAAATGCTTTCACAAAAAGTGTACCTACCGAATTTGTTGATACTCCCTAATCCCTATGTGATTGTCGCCGTTCAAAGATTATAAATGTAGTCAATGCTAATTTAATTTCATCAAATCTAAACATTTCATATTTTTCGTTAATTTAAAATAGGGGTAGATAGGTAGATACTTAGCCTATTGAAACTTTTTAGTTTTAGCAGTTCCATATTTTTAAATATTCTAATTTTAGTTTTAATAAGAACTGCCCTTTTGTAATAGATTTTTATTTATTTATTTTTATATTTTGAGTTGTTTTGTTTTCATATTTTTTTTTAATGTTTTATGTCCTTGTCTTTATGGGTACTAGGTATAGTACCTAATTAAAAGAGAATTTATTATTGTTTTTTTAATCCTATAAGTTTTTTCATAGGTAATAATCCGTTTATTCTCGTTTAAACTTATGTTCCTATTTTTTTTTTTATAATAAACTGCCTTTTAGAAAATAAAATTTCATTTCATACTACTGCTATTTTTTTTTTACTACCTAGGTAGGATTTATTATAGCTTTCTATGCTTATTAAAAGGTGGTCGAAAACCAACCCAAAAATGGTCGGAAATTGCGACCAGTGGTCGAGAACTAGCTAAATGGCACTTTTTTCATATTTTTACTAAAATTACACATTTCATCGAACAAAAATTAAAAAAATATATAAAATTTGAATTCGCAAATCTTCAGACTTTTAGAAAATCTTAGTCTTATTAATATATTTTAACTAGACATATTTTTATCGTGTTTTGAAGTGGAAGTTTCAGTTAACTGGTCGAAAACCAGCACACTGACCCTACTTCCGGAGCAATTGTAATAGTATTTTACATTATTAGCCAGGTAAAACAGTTTTTACTGGCGATTGAAGGAAATGACTAGCGAGCCGCCAGGCGAGCTTGTCACCTTCAAGAGCCAGTAAAAACTGCTACCTGGCGTATAATGTACAATAATTTATTTGTTACTCATTTGTAAAAGATATAGGGACAAATAAAAAATCAATACATAACAAAAATTTGAAATTTATATGTTTTTCCTTGATTTTTTCTCACAGAAGTTTTGGTAGTTGGTATAACTATGAGAATGATACGTTGTTAAGACGTTGTTTCTAGTTATAAATAGGTTTTTTGACAGATTTCCATTTTGCAATTTTTTTCCAGAAATGAATTTATTACAAGATATTATTAATGAAGCTGCAGTCGTAGCCAACAGTTTATCACCAGAAAAGTCTCCCAGAAGGTACCTACAAGCAATTATTCTTGTGATAAAACCGATTTTTCAAAAATAAATAATTCTACTGACTTGTAAAAAGTTTTTACAGTTTAGCTGTCAATTTTACAAGTCAGTAGAGCCAGTAGCTTGTAAAAATCAATTTTCGCTGGTTATGTTATGACTTGATAAGTGACGTTTTACAAATGAGTGACAAATAAACATGTTTACTATTCAACGGACGATCGGCTAATTTTACATTCGGCTTTTTTTAGGATACCCATTACGTCCATGGTTGCTCACTGCATTACTGAATCCACTTCCCAATAAACCAGAAGAAAGATTTTCTAATCATTTGAAATCTGTTAGAAGTATTGTTGAACGTTTCATAGGTTTACTGAAAAACAGGTTTCGGTGCTTACTCAAATACAGGACTCTTCATTATGCTCCAGATAAAGCAGCCAAAATTATTATAGCATGTGCAGTTTTGCATAATATCTGCGTCAGCAATAATGTGCCTGAACCTGAAATGGACCCGAATCTGGAGTTAGATTTAGGTCTTAATAATGTAGCTGCTGATGGCAACAATATAGGTGGTGTAAATCCTGAATTGGAGCAAGGAAGGCTTCTTCGAGCAAGAATTATTGCTACTCACTATGTGAATTAATTATTTACTTAATACAAGAATAAATTTTATTATCCATTATATTGATTTTTTGTCTCCCTGCAAACCAATTTCCAAATTATGACACTTGCTGTGTGGATAAGTAGAAAATGGCAGCACTAGCACAGACCTACATATTCTTTATGGACTTCAAAAAATCTTTGTTGTATGCAGATGCTTAATTTGAAGTGAAACACTGAACAAAGGGTTTCAGAGCAAGTGTAGGTATTAACATTTTATTTAAGGAAAGAAACTGAGTATCTGATATTTATAATACATATTTTAAATCTATGTGCTTATAATAAATATTTGATACTTTTCAACATAATATAAATTGAACAAAAACAAATAAGAAAAAATCTAACTATCTGAGAAATTATTTAGATATTGCAACTAGACTGAATCACAAAATCTTTGGTTTTTACCAAACTTTCAGATATACGTAGGTAGGTACCCAATTTATTTTCCCACATCTTGGATGCAATAAGTCACAAGCCAAAAATATGTATTTTAGGACATGAATATGACTCGAAACTATGAAGGCGTTGAAAAGACCTATTTTTTTTCAATTTTTAAAATTTTGAGTTTTAATTTCGACTTATGTCGAAATTTTAGAGTAGAATTTTATGTTATAACTCGAAATTTTAAAAAGTGAGAAATAAAAAGTTGGGTTTCCCTTATACGCCTTCATACAAATAGTTATTTATGTACCAAGGCTTGTAAGTGTTACTTTTTTGGCCGAGGATGCAGTTTGCAAGCATTTGAGGCCAAAAAAGTACACGCTACAAGTCGAGGTGCATATGATATTTTTTGTGCTACCCATTCTGTAAGTGACACTTACAGTTCATGGACGTAGGTCAAAAAAGTCAACTTACAGAATGGGTAGCACAAAAACACCAATTTTATGACCTGCATCCAACACGTTACAATAATTTTACTTTGAACAGTTGCATTTATGCATAGATTTTAATGTTTCTAGAATTTGTAAGTTAGTGTTCTTATTAATTCTAAGCAAGTTTAATTTTTTCATTTCATAATTTTTCCTGTGTTTCAAATAATTCTTTTTTTCTTCGTAGTAGCTCTCAAACATCTCAGTCCTTCTGTCCATGGAATTTGCGGCTTTTTGACCTACTTGTAGAGAGCTAGTTAACCTTCTGGTTTTAGTGAGTCGCTTCTTCGGGATGATTCCTTTTTCTTTTGGCCCGGGAAACTCTAAAGAATATGAGTGGTCATTGCCAGTCTTGTTGCCAGTACCAGTACTAGGGTGTACTGTATTTTCTTGATCAATAATGACCTCATCAAACTGTATATCTTTAACTACACTGTGATCCTAAAATGAGAAGTAAAAAGCTAGTTAGAAGTTTAATTAAAAAATAATCACTGCTTGAAAATTGAACATTTGCAATGTTGATAAAATAATTTAGAAAAGCCAGATTTTCATGTTTACCTAAGAATAATAATTTATTAATACCTAATAATCATGATTTTTTTAATAAAATTTTGTCGTTTTCATTTTTTTTGCAGACCAGAGTATAGTAGGTGCAACAATACACCGCTGACTCTTATTGCAATAAATTAACTACCTGGATTAGACCCTATTGTATAGGCATTGTTGAAGGTATTATTGCAGTCAGAAGATCAACAGTATATTGTTGCATTCACTATACCTAATAAATTAATCCTGTATAACCTACCTAGCCATTTTTATAAGTTAAAAAAAATAAAGGACCTGAAGTTGAACATTGTCGCACCCCAAATAATTTCTGGAAAGTGGCTCTCTAATTTATTGATAAAAGTACATCGTTGCCTCATTAACACTTAAACAATCATTTTCAAACTACATCTTTCCACAAGATTCATATAGAAATTCCTTGAATGCCTAATTTTCAGGCTAATTTTAGTAATTTTAAAGGAGAACTTGTCACTATAACTTAGGTAGGTACCTACCTGTATTTCTTGCTCCATATGTATATCTCCTATGTTAGTGTCCAATCTAGGGTTTTGATTAGGTATATCCTCATCATTATTTATATCAAAACTACTTAAGTCATAGAAGTCTGTGTCAAAGTTGAAATGAGTTGAAGATTCTTTAATAGATGGAAGTCCTTGGATGGCAATGGGCGTCATTAAGTCCAAGATTTCGTTTTCAACTTTTTCCAAGACTTCAACTACTGGAGGTCCCCCACCTGTCTGGCTTGCATACATCTTGTTTTTTGATGCTTTAGTTTTTGCATTTTTTTTAAGATCTTGCCAAGTCTGAAAAATAACAAGAACATTAAAAAATTACTGATTAGGTAGATATTTGGGTAGTTTTCTGTTAATCAACTGTTTAGAAAGGCTGCCACAAGCCAAAGTCCAAATTAAACCAGGAAATTAAAACTATGGAAATTGTCAATTTCTAGTGAAATTTAATATGAATACTGCAATAAATACCTTGATCTACTTACCTTTCTCCATTGACGCCAGTTTTTTTGTGAGCCATTTGATATTTTGTTTAGTTTAGCTGCTATTTCCTCCCAAAGTTGCTGAGCTTTTTTAAATGTAAATTGGGAAGTAAACCTGCCGGTCTTTAAATCGGAATGTTGTTTCATGAATTCTACTAATATTTCTTTTTGTTTTGAATTTACGGGATGTCTGCGCGATGTGGCAGATTTTTCCATTTTTCTAAATTTAAATACTAACACTACTTAAATAATGATATTATTATTATATGATAATCTCAAATCACTTTCATAAATCATAACAATAAAAATAATAAACAACAAAACATCCTTAACTAACCTAACATTAACAAAGATTGATAAATCGTTAACCTCAAAATATTTGAATTTTGACATTTCAGCTGTCTCTCACACCGTGTTCGAGAAAACTGATTTCGATACTTCGGGGTCGTCGGGTTTTGATCACATCACATAGAACAAATATGAGGCAACCGATCACTTCTCCCAGGCGAATGTTCCTTTCACATTATTTCAAGAATAGGCGCCCAGGCATCAAGGCCTGTTCGCACAGCAATCACAAACCAGTCAGAGCGAATTTCATTGGTTGGAAACAGTCAGAAAACTAGTTTCAACCCAAGAATCGTAATTCTACAGGATTGCTCAATCGGCTAAATTTGTTCACAATTGCTGTGACGTCACGCGCATGCCGGATTTTCAAGATGGCCGCTGATACGAATGATGTTTAGTTTGTGCTGACAACTATTTTATCGTAAATTCGGATTTATCTAGTGTTATAAGTGTAAATTTAAAGTTTCATTTAATGTGTGTAAGCATAAAAGACTCGTGGCTGAAAATACTCGCGAAAACCCCAAGCATTTTCTGGTTTTATAATACTGGATTTGTTGTATCAGGACATCGCTCTTTTATTTGTGTGTATTGCTAGTTAGTATTTCTTAGTCAAGCATTTGTTTTGCTTTTTTTTTATAAATCAAATATCTACTTAGTTGTAAGTTTCCTTTGCATGTAATTACTAATAAAAATTAGGGTTTGTGAAGAGTGAATAAATAAATATGTAAATAAATTCCTTTACTGGCGCGTTTACTATGAAAACGCATGGACAATATGGGAAACTTGCAATGTTTTTCTGGAATATGATTATGAGAATCTAAATTAGGTATCACTATTTGGCTTTGTGAAATAAGCTCACTTTGAATGTCCATATTAAATCGTTCTAGTACCTATTAAATTAATGAATAATAATTGAGAAGTACCTAGGTAGGGTCAGTAAAAAATAAAGCACACTATTGCAACCCCGTTTCGCTTATATTTTGATATTGAAATGCAAAAATTAAACCGGCTCGGCACCCCACATTTGGTTTTCTACTGTTTCTCAACTGTAGTCAATTGTGCCCGTTTTGTGCTCAATTGTGCCAGTATTTATGCGAATTGTGTTCATTTTCATACACAAAAAAAACATTGAAACGAATCCGGGGGCCAGCTTGACTCCAGCCCTTCGTTTTTTTGACTTTTTGGCAATATGTTTGGCTAATTGATAAACAAAAGCAAACAAACTCGTCTTTCTAATTAGCAATTAGCCAACCACGCAAGCCTCAAGGACACAAGCTTTTGAAGTCTGCTAATTTTAAAATCAATAAATTAATTACAAATTACAGTTTTCAAAGGAAATAACCTCAAAATAACAATTTTTCACGTTTGAAAATGCAAGGATAGTGCACTGTCATAAAAAACACAAACCGATCAAGGACTGCGTGACGTCATTCGCATACCGCCATCTTCGATGTTTTTATGAACGTTTGTCTTATGGGATTGAGCAATCCTGTAGAGTTTACGATTCTTGGTTTCAACCAATAAAATTCGCTCTGACTGGTTGGTGATTTCTGTGCGAACAGGCCTTAGCGATCGCAAAAGATGAATGAAGACCCGAAAAGGCTGAAAATCAATAATTTACCGTAGTACGCCAGCTCAAAAATTTAGGGCGCTGTTGTCATATTTATTTATTTTTGTATTTAACAACGCTTTTTATTCAAAATGTTCTGTACAAATCTGGTGGCGTACTCAATGTATGTGTGGCGTACCCGAACAATTTGGCAACCACCGTTTTTATGATTTTAATCTTGGATTGCTTTTAAATGTAAATAATCGCGTCCCTCTGTGCTATATGGTCTAAGGGGCCAACAGGGCTGGCGCGTGCCTTAAAAAGCTAGGGGGCCACACTGATCTAAAAAATAAATGGATAAGCAATTCATACGGCTTGATTGGCAAAATTTGTGCGAAAATTTGGGGTCAATATTCTACGAACAGTTGTGCCACGGAACAGCCTGACGCCTGCGCAGTGTCTTATCTTTCGAACAACTGTTCTAAATTTTGAAATTCCTTCATTTTCATTGGCCAGATTTTGTGCACGCACAATACATGTATCTACTGCGCACGCTCACAGCTGTTCCAGTCAGTTGTTTTTGTTTCGATTTTGACCTCGTAAATTAGCAGCATTAGAAGCGTTTTTTGTTTATCCATTTATTTTTGAGATCAGTGGGGGGCCAAGAAGATACCGGACTCGGACACGAACAAACGGAACACAACTCAGGTGCCCTAGCCCTATTGGAGGTGGCAAAAATTTCTGGATGCCACGTTCAAATTTCGACCCAAATGTCGTTAAAAAAAGCATCGGGCAAAAATCTATTGATGGCACATTCGCGATATTGTCAAAATATGTATAAAATTTGAATAAAAAAAAAGTAGGGAGTTATGAAATGAGATTAAGAATAGCAAAACAACTATCTAATTCGTATCACAGTCGATCTTAAACTTAAAACTACTAACTAATATCGGCCTTTATATATCCGCAACCTATTCGTGTAGAATCCAGAATGAAGACGATAATCCAATGCCCGAATAAAGCAGAATTTACTAGATTCTAAGTTGGATTCTCGACATCCTGGCCTATGCGCCACCGTTACACTGCCCTCCTCTTAAGGTTGATCATACCGATCAATTTCACGCCCATGATATTTCGTCGATCTGTCTAGATGTACAACTTTCATCTTGCTCCTGGTGTTGCGCGGAACTCGATAAACCATATCATTGATTCTCTTGATTATTCTGTAGGGTCCTTCCCATGCTGAAGACAATTTCGGCGACACTCCTTTCTTTCTTCGATGGATTATACAGCCACACTTCGATGGATTATATACCCACACTAAATCACCTTCTTGAAATCCGGCTGAATTGGCTTTCAAGTCGTATCTGGTCTTCATTCGGTCACTGGCCAGCTGAATATGCTCCCGAACAAAATCATGTATTCAGAAGTCGTGCCCTTACTTCGTCGGCATAATCTCGATTTTTTTTTGTTCTTCTCCAGGTATTCCAAACATCAGATCGCAAGGTAACCCAGGGGCGGATGGGACCGCCGGGACACCGAAATTGGGCCGCCGTCTTATTAAGTCTGTTTCTGCAGAAATCACAAACCAGTCAGAGTGAATTTCATTGGTTGAAACTACTTTTCTGACTGGTTTGTGATTTCTGCAGAAAGAGACCTATCAAAAAAACTTTTTTATAAGTTCTTATAATAGTACAGTAAATAGAGACAAATAAATCGCATTTACTAAAAAAAAATACTTAATGGCTGAAATTTTGAGGGTGTGTTCGGGGGCATGTCCTGAGTCTAAAACTGAGTTTTCGTATTCGAGGGGGTGGGGGAAGATACTACCCCCTCTTTATGTATGGTTGAGTTCGTTTTACCTCCATATCTCCGGTGCTATTGCCCGTACCGTCAAGTCCGAAAGATCAAATTTGTGGGAAATAAAATTATCCATCTAATGATAATAAAATCAAGGTCATAGGAAATTTTCAGGGGAAGTAGAGAAAAAGTTCCTCTATCGAATGGATGGGGGGACGAATTTTTAAAAAATTTTGGACTGGGGGAAAAAAAATGAAAAACGCAATATCTCGAGAACTTTGCGATCTAAAAATGACGTCCCAAGGGCTTTGGGCCGATTTGGATGAAATTTAAAGTGTAGGTAAAAGGAGTCTAAAAAAGGTTTAATTTCAAGTTTCAGCTCTCTACGACATATAGGAAAGGTTTTAGCCCCTATCTCCCAATTTTGAGAAAGGGCGTAAAATGGGGTATACGCGTTTTGCATTTATTTTCACGAATTTTGAAAAATGCTGCCTCTAGCGAGAAAAAATCGAACATATCCCGTACATAAATATCTATTATGGTTCTAGGAACATAATGGATCACTTCTGTGTCGAGTGTTGATAACAATAAAGTTCAAATTATGGACCGCTTTAAGATAAAAGGTATTTTTGAGCGGGACTCTCAAAAAAAGTTTCGCCTCCGACTAGAGTTTCCAGCTGTCCTTTCTTCAAACAAATTGTCCATGTGACAGTCCTGTCATGTCATTGCTTGTTTGCTAGCGTGAGCTTTGAAAGTTTAAAATAAACGTATTTGGGCGTGGCACCCGAAAAATCCGCAGTTTTTCGGCGCGCTTCCTTTAGGCATACGATTTTTCTGCTTTCTACGGCTCAAAGAGCCGGTAGGCTTGAGAAATCTCGGGCCGGTCTGACCTACCCCATCCGCCCCTGAGGTAACCTGAGTTCCCTTCCAAAAACGATTCTAGCTGGACTTATACCTGTTGACTCGTGAACAGCTGCTCTGTAAGCCATTAAACATAGAGGCAAGTGTTTGTCCCAATCTCGATGGTTCTTTGCGACCACTTTTGTCAGGTGTTCCTCTATGGTCTTATTAAATCGTTCTACCATGCCATCAGACTGTGGATGCATAGCCCCCTACATTTAACAAGCCATGAAGTTAAAAAGGCAACACCGCAATCTTACCGCCAAGTGGTGCTGGTGGTGTTTGTTTGTATAAATATATATTTTTTATTTTATTAATATGAATCACAAAAAATACATAATTTATTGTACTAAAGGGCCAAAAACAGTAATTCAATGAATAATTTAACTATTTGTGTGTGACGGAACTAGCTATTACCCTTTTGTGGACTCTAGTCATTACCGCACCAGGGATGTCAAAAGTTTTTACTTTGACTGACTGTAAAAATTAACCATTAGGTGTTGGATCATTTAAGCCTTGTATTGAACTAGGGGTGCCTTGATTCTCATTTATACAAATAAAACGCTGAAATAGAATAGTTATCAATTTAATTAATAAATGAAGTTAATTCGGTTTAATCAGCAATCAAATCCTATCTAATAATTCCTATTTGGACGTCCAGTCGAACTACAAATTTTATACTAATCTAAAGTAAATAAGCGAGTAAATAAGTATCTTGATTTATAAAAAATAGTGAAATTTCATAATAATAATATCAATTATGGTTAAATGTTCAATGAACGAGAACACAAATTAACTAATTAGATTTACGAGAGCACAACACAAATAATTCGTGAACTTCAATCAGCTCACTGTATTCACAAAATGTTTATAATCCTTGAAGGTTCTTTTGTTTATTGAGAGTTAATAATTTGAGCACTTTTCTGCTGAAGTGTGTAAACAATAAGTGCAAGAAAAGTCTATATATATATGCTCAGTTTCTATATACAAATTTACAAATTAATGTTCATTTCACGAGTGTGAAAACCAAATTTCTGTATTAAAGGTTAGAACAAACACTTCAATTTATAGTGCATTTCAACCGAATCAGTATTCAGTATTTATTAATTTATTGTTCGACTGTTTTGAGAAATTGAAACGGTCTTACTTGCTTAATCCAGTTCATACCGGTAAATCCATATAGTGATTATTTATCCATTTATCACTATTCGTAGTAATTTGCACTGTCAGCTAAGGGATTTTCCACTAAGAGAGAGAACACAATGATATACAGAGTTGAAGCCCGTCGAGAGTGAGACAGGAATAACCTTAAACAGGCGTAGTAGAGAATTTTGCTAGGTCCGAGATGACTTGCAACAATTTAGGGGTTAATTACATGAATTGTAATCAATAATATCGTTGATAATATAGGCCATGTCAGGCCTTGAGACACTGGGAGTAGTATTTTACTATAATTCGCGTACTAACGGGGGTTTTCTGGGGGTTTTTTTCCTCTGTAGAGCGTTCAGAGGCGAGAGGGTGCAGAGTCTTTGCTTACTCTTCTGCTTCTTGATTACTACTGTTGTGTACCGTGCGTCGAGTCGACTGCCTTTTTCGGAGCAGGTCGCATAAATCAGGGATGTTGGGTGGCAACTGACCAATCACAACAACAAAATAGATCCATTGCTCATAGGGTAATGAAGAAATCTGTAATTTTACCGATTCAAAAGGGCTGCTGTTGCCAGTTTTACAGGATTCTTTTTTTTAGAATATTATTTTTATGATAAATAATAGAAATTGAGATTATATTGATAAACTACAAATAATAACATTTTAAACTTGTTGTGGGTTATTTCCGCAACATATTCCCCCCC